AAGACACTTGGTATCGGGAGGACAGTTTTTGAATCAGCGGGAGCCTCCATGCTTGGCATGATTGGGACCACTCCCAACTCACATGGACACCGCGTTGCGCGCAGTAGGAAAAAATGATGGCTCCACCAACATACTGTTTCAACACCTGCTTTCGTTTTTCCTCCAGGTCATGTTTTTGTTGTTCACTTCTCTGGTTCATCACCGAGTAGGGACCACATTCCGTTGACAACCAAATATGTGAGGGTTTGTGACGATCAATTTTGTCCAAAACAGAGTGAACTCCTTCGTTGGTGGTGAGGTCATGATGATTCCAAATGGACAGGCGCATCGCGGACTTTTCACTGCCAGTGATGGTCTGCATTGTTGAAGTCAACACGCTATCGGGACTGCGCGCCACCTCCAGGAGACGCACAAGCCGACCTGTGCATTCTCTTCATGAACGGCGGCTCCACCCTTGCAAAAAGAAACTCCGTCCGACTCGCACTGACCGCCTATCCCAAATTGACCGAAATTCGTACCTTCTCCTGATCTTTTCGCCCCCCTCCGTGCTCGAGCAAAGTCCTGCCTCCCTCATCGTGAGGCGTGTGTGAGTCAGAGGGATTCCTTTGAATGTGTTTTCTTTGTGTTGAGTGTAGCCGATGGAGAGGACGTAGAAGCTCCATCCAACGAAGCTCTTCATACGATCGGATTTAGGATATCATCAGGGACGCCTGATGACGTACCTGCTTTGTGATGACTTTTCACTTTCCACTGGGCACCGTTCTTAATTGGCAGTCAAGTGCTCGCGGATCGATTTTTCGTCGACTTCGTGACCCTGAAGATGGTTGAACTCCGCTCCATTTTAGGTTTCGGCGCACCTGAACTCTTAGGAATATGGTCACTTGGGTTGCCGCGTGGCGAGTGGCCTTCACATGTGTGTGGAACCCTTGTAGTCACAGGGATCCGTTTGGAGTTGTTTTCGTTTTTTAGCAGGGGGGCTGGTTGTTCAATGCAAGTACCAGCCCAACAAAGAGGCTTGCGTTGAACAGTGGGGACGCCCGCCGACGTACCTGCTCTTACTTGCAGGGTGGTTCGTCGGCGGACTTGTGCGTCGGTTCTACTTCTACCTATTTACTTGTAAACTGGTAAGGCAGACCTCCAACTTGGTGCCATGGCCTCTAACGTACTAATGATGACCTCCAACCTGGTTGCTTGGTGCGTTTTGAGTTTGTGTTTTGAGTTTATGTCTTGTGTCTTGTAAACTTGTAGCGCTGACCTCCAACCTGGTGCGGTGGACTAGCGATGACCTCCAACCTTGCTGTTTGATGCTGCTTTCAGTTTGTGTCTTGTAACCTTGTAGCGCTGGCCCCAACCTGGTGTTATGGCCTCCAACCCACTAGCGATGACCTCCAACCGTGTTGCTTGATGTAGCTTTGCGCGCATAACCGGCTAGCGATGGCCGCCAAACATGGGCGATGGCCTCCCACTTCCTAGCGACGGCCTCCAACCTACCTTTGCTGTTTTACTCAGGAATACCTAGGTTGGCGTGTGGCGAGTGGCATTCAGTTCCGTATGCATTTCCATAAGTGTGTGTGTAACCCTTCGAGTCACTGCACAGGGATCCGTTTGGAGTGTTCTTTGATTTGGTTTTTTAATATATAGACTTGCAGGGGCACTGAGCACTCCTTGGCAAACTCAGTGCAACAAAGCTATGCCTTGGAGTGGGAAGCACGGATTGATCACCCGTGTGTACCTGCAGTTTTACAGGAGAAATTCGTACTTGGTCCCGTTCTTAACTAGAACAATTTGTACAGCCTTTGCATCGGTTATGCGCTCGGCCGTCGTGCGGTTGTCGCATTGGTTGAGGCCTTGAGGTTTTGACGGCGTTTAGACCACCTTGTCTACACCTGTCCTGGTTTCTGTGGTTTTCACCTAGGCCGGCGTGTGGCAAAGCGCAACCAAATCAGTACGCGTAACCTGGCTTCACGCCAGCCCAGGGTGAGCCCGCAGAGTGCCCCCTGTCGACCTGTTGAACGGGGGTTTGTCGAACGTATCCCCTGCCCGGATACAGAGTGGCTTAAGCCAAAGTTATTTACCAAGACTTGATGAACTATTGAATTCCAAGTAGGCAGTCTTCGGACAAGCCATGAGGTGACCAAAGCGGTCAGCAGTAGGCAGCCCTCGGGCACCCCACCACGTGGTCGCAGCCACCAAGGTTCAGTGGAACCTGTCGCACTCTCAGGTGCACACACAGCATGTACATTCAAACGAGGCAGGTTTTCCTAGGTCGTTGTAATGAGATTTGGTTTCATCGGTTTCCGTCCCCTCCATTTGGTTCCCTTTTCATCCTTTTCCCCTTGACACATTTCTTTCTCTCTTCTTTTCTTTCATGTCTTCCCTCGCTTCATGTCCTGTCATCTCATCTCTTTCCTTCTTTTGCGTGCACACGGCTCGGCCCTTAGTATGTACGCGCGCAAGCTACTTTCAACTCAGGTTTCAAGTCGCCCAGATCTTTACAATGAGGTGGGTTGTCACCGGTTGTCCCTGTGCACTTGGTTCCTTTTCATTGCAACCACACACACCTTGTCCCGTCCTGTCTCCACTTCATGTCTTCATTCTTTTGTGTTACTGCGCACACACACTAACACATTTGCCCTGACCTTAGTGCTTCTTGCTTCCCCTCGGGGAGGCGCGTGTGTGTAACCCTTGGAGTCACAGGGATCCGTTCGGAGTGTTCTTCGATTTGGTTTTTTCAAGAGACTTGCAGGGGCACTGAGCACTCCTTGGCAAACTCAGTGCAACAAAGCTATGCCTTGGAGTGGGAAGCACGGATTGATCACCCGTGTGTACCTGCAGTTTTACAGGAGAAATTCGTACTTGGTCCCGTTCTTAACTAGAACAATTTGTGCAGCCTTTGCATCGGTTATGCGCTCGGCCGTCGTGCGGTTGTCGCATTGGTTGAGGCCTTGAGGTTTTGACCGCGTTTAGACCACCTTATCTACACCTGTCCTGGTTTCTTAGGTTTTCACTTAGGCCAGCGTGTGGCAAAGCGCAACCAAATCAGTACGCATAGTCTGAAGTGTGTGTCAGCTCTCATCGAAAATGTGTTTTCATGGGCACGCTGCTCGGTGTGTGGGCGCTCATTTGTGCGCTCTCATGTGCTTGCTCACAGCCGTGTGCTCTCACACCTGTGCTCTCGTTTGCTCTCGCATGTTTGCTCTCATATGTGTGCTTTCTATGTGCGCTATCAGCCGCTATCATATGTGTGCTCTCACAGTTTTTTTGTGTGCTTTAATGTACGTATTTAGCGCGTGGAAATTGGTTTATTCACCCTTGCTTTTCTTTTACTTAATGCTGTGGCGTTTTTTGCCAGGACAGTCTCACACATGTTGCAGGACATTTCCAACAGCTCGAACATGGTTCCTTTTGAAACAATTTTTTTCACCACCGGATGTCTCTGGAAGGCGTGAAGTGAATTGTGATTGTGATTGGACTGGTGAGACCTGGGTGATGCCCAGTTCTTGGCTATAGATCGGGCAGCCCCAATTCTGTTCGGTGGGTGGAGGAAAAACTTTGATGTGGAAACCATCAAAGGCCAAGACAAGGAACTTCTCCGACCTGCGTTTGTGTGAAATGGTTTGCGCATGCCACTGGGGCTTGATTGGTGCACATTCGCCCAGAGCAATGTTTTCAGGCCTTGTAGACGTCCATGCATTTTTGACAACGATAACCTTAAAAAAAAATGTATCAAACCAAAAGATCGTTGAACGTGCTCTACTTTCCAGCAGCTAGCGTTTCCAAACAATTTGCGCCGAACGCAGGCATTTTGAATTTTCAGGCAAACTTTCGAGGACAAGTCTTGATGGTTAGCCATGGCAAAGCGTTCCAAGCTTGGAAACCTGGACCTTTTGCAGTTGCAACCCTCGTAAATATTGCCTTGGTTCTTGCATTCAATCCTGCCCAACCTACCAACGAAGAGAAACTAAAGTTTGCCAGGGCACATGTTTCTGTGGTTCCAATGTTTGGTTTAATTTGTGCACTTTTTGACTATCATCATTATTAAAATTCCTTTGGATTGCAAAGTTTTGTTTAGACTTATTGTCGCCACCAACATTTTAAGGGCTGTAGTATTTAGGCAAAGGCATCACATGTCACAACGCCCTACAATGAGCGAACCGTGTGCCATCCACATCTAAGGCAACCTGATGAACACATTCAGTGTGCTTGGTTGGACACGTTAGCATTCTACGTGCAGATGCTTGGTTACAATCAGTCGCAACAGTGAAATTTTGTATAACTACTTGCAACAGTGGCTGCAATACTTGCAGGTGTGATATTTTTGCAAATCCCGCATTTGCCTTGGCCACGTCAAGTCGTCATGTCTTGCACAATTCACTGAGGATGGCTGCAAGCTTGGGAGCGGCTTGTGCTGCTGCCTTTCTGTTCAAAAGAGCTGGAGCTTCGCAGCATGCTATGTCAGCTGTGGGCTATGCGCTCCTGATGCTTGCTTGTGTGTTGCTTAATGGATCTCAGCTGTAAAGCCAGTAAAGGAAGGAATGTTTGACCTCGCTGAACTGGGTCCATGTGGTGTAGTGCTGAGGAATTGGTTGCAGTCCGTGTTGATGACGCTCATGGTAGCAGCCAAACCTTGGGGCTGCCGTTATGGCTTGTTGCCGACCAAGCAAGATCTTCCTGGAAAATGCCATAATGATCAATGCATCATCCTTTTTACACTTGGGAAGGTTGGCGGCCGTGTGTGTGTTTTTTCCAAGGGTTCCAGGGTGGGCAAGAGAGAGACGTTTGTGCGCCCGTGGCTTGTTGAGGTGCGTTGGGATTTCTTGAGTCCATTGAACATGATCTTCTGGATGCGTCTGCTAGCCTATTTGGCAGCACTTATTTGGATGCAATGGCTTCTCCAGAGACGGATTCATGCATTAGAGAAGTCTTCCGGGTGTCAATATGGGGGTCAGTGGGTTTTGCGCCTTTTGCAATTGCAAGCGCTCTGCATTTTCTTTGGCATTATGATTCTTGGCCCTGGGATCGCCTTGCTCCTCATGCCACCCACAGAGGTTGTTTTTGTGATGCTCAGCATCGCACTCGTTTTGGGGCTTGTTGGAGCGGCTGGCTTCATGGTGGCAAACCTGCTTTCATCTGCCATAGCCATTTGGGCTCTTGTCCGATTGGTGCGTGACTTGAACCAGGCACGCATGCTGCAAAACACACCTTGCGACGTGAAGGAACGCTTGGAAGAGGTCTGGCGAAGCAACCGACGGCAGACTATCGCAGTGGCCTTTAGTTTGTTTCTCTCAGTGGGTTTGTCACCAGCAGTGTTGTGGCAGCTGCATGTCACCTTCAGTTCAAATATGAAAGATGTCGAGTATCCGGCGGAGCACTTGACCTCAGTCCTGGTCGGCGTCTCAGTCCAGGTCCTGGATGTCCTAGGCAATGCACTGGCTGTCATCTTGCTTTCAGGCACTCACCGTGTGATAGAATCTGACAGCATGTGCAACTGCCCCACAAGTAGCTGTTGCTTCAAGCGACAGGGTGAATGGGATAGGGCCTGGAAGGAGAAGGTGGAGGAATTGTCAATGCGGGGCATAACACTAAATAGCTTGCTGAAGTTCTATGAAGAGGATCTTCTCCTCTTTGACGGATGGCAATACGCGCCAGGAAAACACAGGACACGAGACGTGGTCCGTCGGGTCATCATTCCTGTTACTGCCGGAGAGCTGGAGCCCTGTTCTTATGCAACCTCTAGCTACAACCGGGACAAAGCGCAAAGAGCACAGATCATGGTGACGCACAACTGGGACAATCTCTTCAAGGACCTTCTGGCAGCAATCGTGGCCAATGCACTGCAAGAGTGCAGTTTCCAGGTAGCAGCCAGGATGTTGATGGAAGACGTGCCGCTCCTTCGTAACATTTTGGAGAAGAATGGCCGCTTGAGGGATGTCTATTGGGTGTGTGCGTTCTCCGTAAATCAACATGTTTCGATTTGTCATACAAATAAGTGGGACAAGGATCCCATCTCGAAGTGGTTGCATCCAACTTGCAATTGCTCGTGCTCCAACATTGAAGACCCAGATGGGCAACATCCGGAGTCTGAAATGAACAAGTTTGATGATATGATGAGGCACCTGGCAAGCACACCAGGAGGCTGTAAGCACTTGATTGCGGTGGATCGATCTATGAATCTTTTTAAGCGAGCGTGGTGCATTGCGGAGATTGCTGAAGCAAAGCGGCTCGGCATGCGCCAGAGCCTCAAGCTTGTGTCCAAGGAGATATTGCTACAACGCCAACCGAGTCTTGAGAATCTGGATATTTCACAAATGCATTGTCACAACAAAAAATGACCTCACTATCATACTGAAAAAGATCACAGACTACGTCACCATCACCCGCTTCAATGAGCAATTGCAGTCCCTGATCTTTGACTCGAGAACAGGCCTTGGAGCTCCCAGATTGAGCTTCTTGTGGACCAAAAGAGCTACAAACGTAAGTAGCACAACATTCATATATGCCTCATGTTCTTGTTTTCAGGCCTCTTGAAGTCCTGGGAGCGCTCCGACAATTTTGAGCGTATGGGCGAGGCTGGCCGCCTCTTGCGCTGGAGCTTGGCAGATCACGGAACTGGCCAGGTCTGGAGGTTTTGGACCATAGAGAACTCAGAGGCACTTTTGCTCAAACAGAGGTGTTTTGGTGTGTTCCACATGCTCTCATTTGCGTGTGAGTAATCTCTTGACAAACATGATGAACATGATTCAGTCACGAGTCTTTTGATTCTATTCTTATCTTATTCCAAAATGACGTCACAAAGACTCGCCAGCTAGTGGTGTGGTGAACTCTCTGTGTGTTGATGCCAACTGGTGGCACCTGGGAAGCATGTCCAGACGTGCCCTAGGCAGCCCTAAGGATCAAGAGGGTCCAAGGAGGGCCCAACAAACCAGTAACCATGAATCACTGCTCAGCACAAACCCTTTCAGCGTGAACACTGAGAGTCTGAGAGTTACAAGCCGCATCCAATTTTGGATGAGCAGGTTCGCCATTGCCGCTGGGTATATCCATATAAGTTGAGCTCCCAGATGCATCTGCACAGACCAGAAAAAACCATGTGCAACTCACCAAAAAAAGTCATACAACCCTGAACTGATCACTCAAAGTAACAAAACAGGCTGCATGATTATAATGTTCGGACAGCAAAACATAATTCGCACGGCTCTCAAAACACAATCAATAGCTGCAAAAGTTGATCAATCTATACATTTTTCTTGTCTACTTAATCTTTCCCGGAGATTTCCTATACCTTGCCCTTCATCCAAACATATACTGCAGTGCCCCTAGGGCCATGTTGTGGGTGGTTCTGGGAAAGACTGGGCTGGCTTCGACCAATCCTACTTCAGCACACCCTTACCCGCTAGCACCAACCCCCCATTTCTCTATCAAGACTGTGCAGTGGAATGAAAGTAGAACCTAGCAGTTGAATGAAAGTAGAACCTAGCCCTTTTCCAGTCAACATCAGGCTCGGCTAGAGCACCGGAAGTAGAACAAGAAAAGCGCATTCCCGCAGTAATTCCGGTGATTATCCTGGCACCATAGTGTTGTTTCCAGTCTAGAGCTGACACAGCTAGAACACCGGAGAGAGCTGGAAAAGAATGCATTCTGTCGCTAAATCCGGTGTTCTCGTGGCACTATGTTCCTCTAACTCCTTCCCGAAATCTGCCCTATTTGTGTCGGATTTCCCTTATTTGGACACCGTCTTCAGTGGATGACGATGGTAAGATTTCAGGCCGACAGGAACAAGAAGCTACTAGGAGCTCCTGGCATAGCTACTAGGCGCACGAACGTTACTAGGGGCTCCTGGCCGTACTACTAGGAACAAGGACGCTACTAGGGGCTCCTGGCCTTACTACTAAGAACAAGAAGCTACTAGTAACAAAGGGCATCGCTACTAGGAGCAAGGAGGAGGATGCTATTAGGTTGGAGGCCATCGCTAGCTCCCTTCATCTCTCTTCTGCTCTCTTGGGTTCCAACACGACCTAGGTCCGCTTCTCTCGGGCATCTCGGGCATCTTCCGTGACCATTTCCCTTTGATTGTAGAACAAGGGCGCAGAAGTCGCCAAGTTGTTGCATTGATGTTTTTGTCCAAAAGGAACTGTTCAATTCATTTTTGATCCCATTTGAGTTGTAATGTCTGCGAGAGATCCAGATTTTGCCCATATCCACAGACTGAACGAAAGAGGGTTCTCAACGTAGACGTACAACCGTAGCATGACTCAGAAGCTCCGATGGATCGGCCTGTAGAACACTGTGAGAGTGTCGTTACATAAACAGGCATTCTGTGGCCGAGCATGGAGGCCATCGGCCATCGCTTTTAGGGTGGAGGCCATTCCTGGCCTTTTCATTTCTGCACTATTCTGTACAGACAAAGCAAAAAGAGAGCAAAGCTGAGCGACTGAGCATGCAGTGATATTAAGTGCATGAGCACAAGGGCGCCGCATGTGTACCCAGCTTACGAAGATGCATTGAATGGAGCCTTGTCGGCTCAGTTCAATTGTTTGCATCTTGGGAAGCAGTGATGATTTGGTTCCCGCTACCTGGCTGCATGCGTTGTCACCAGCTCATTTCACTCCTTACCCTTGCACATTTAGATTTGGTTTGGGTATTGTGGTCTCAAGAGGTTTTGGAAAGCATTGGCCCGCATGACGTGCAAACTTTTTTGACATATGAAAGTCTAAAGGCGTTTTCATGTTGGGTAGAACATTGCATTTGTGTTCGTTCACTCTCTATTGCATTTGTTCTTTTTTTGTCGAGCCCAACTTGCACACTTGGCCAAGGCTTCTTGCTTTGTTGGTATTGAGAGTCAGTGGGAAGGGAGGAGGATACAGCAGCGGCGGATATAGTTTCTTGGTAAGAATTCAATTTGCTTTTGTTCACTCTGGCCTTGATTGACTCGATCATGTGGATTGGACGAAATCTCACATGTCCAAGTTCTTGCTATCCCCACACCATCAGGCTTGTCGCCTTAATCATCCTTTGCAGGCGGCGGCTACTATGGCGGCAGCGGTCTGCCACTGCTTGGGTTTTGACATCGGATGACATGACTTACTAGGAGCAATGTTCGCTACTGGCTCCTGGCATCGCTACTAGGAGCAAGGGCGCTACTAGGGGCTCCTGGCCGGACTACTAGGAACAAGAAGCTATTAGAAGCAAGAATTCATTAGACGTAGAAGTGAAGTGCAGTCCAAGACCTGCATTCTTAAAGCATTCATCGTTTGGTCACACCTTTTTGGTGGTGTAAGTCACCACCGGTTCGCTCGACCGGAGCCAGGTGTGGTGACCTCGCGCGCGGCCTACGCCTCAGCGGGCGCCTTTGGTGCTGTGGTGCTGCTGAGCGCTGGCAGCCGGCGGCGCTATGGAGTCTACAACGACCCCGACGACTCCTCGAAGTGTTTGTTACTGAGCCTTGGCAAAAAACAGGTTTTGTGAACTCGGATGTTTTTGCGGTGTGTTAGGTGTGATTTGCAACTGGTGCAGCGACACAGTTAAAGCGCATTTCGTTGTGCCACCACTCCTGTTGCCCGCCTCTTTGTGTTCACCTGAGGTCTGAGGAGGAGATGCAGAGCGCTTGCACAAACCTCATAGGTGTGTCTTGGCCAAATGGGCATGATGTATCATTGGAATCATGAAGACGGCCTATTTGCTTTCCGTCCGGCGAAGCCGAAATGTCGAAGTCATTTCAGGTCGAGACGCAATGCCACGACTGCATCGCCTGCGAAACCGAGGACGTCGATCTACTGTGACATCGATTTGTTTTGAGTTTGTTTCCCTGCATCTACTGTCCTTTACTAGTAGTAACAAGAAGCTACTAGTAACAAGTGCCACGCTAGTAGTAACAGGTGCCTTACTAGTAGTAACAAGAAGGCTACTAGTAACAAGTGCCACGCTAGTAGTAACAAGTGCCTTACTAGTAGTAACAAGAAAGCTAGTAGAAACAAGAAGCTGCGGTTCTTCCCACCTCCTCGGACATTTGGGCCCTTTGTTTGGAACATCCAGAGGGCATTACTAGTAGGAGGCCAACGCTATTAGGCTGGAGGCCATCGCTACTAGTAGCAAGAAGTTACTAGGTCAATTGCCCGAGGTGGGACACCCATAGCGATTGATCGACAGCTTGCCTACTGTACAGGATTGCATGAACTCAATCACTAATTGTGACGAGTTCTTGGCAACGGCCCACAACCCAGGGACTGGGGTGCTGGGTAGTACACACATGCCGCGCTGGGGGTCGTATATGCCATGTTGAAAAGTAAAGACAGATAGACAGGGCAAAGTAGATCTGCAGGGTCACTGACAACAGAACAAACATGCAAAATGCTGAAATGCTTGCTCAACCATCTGCTTGCTGTTGGATTCATTGCCCGCGCCGCCTCAGGTATTTTCAGAGTGCTGCATTGAGAACTGCGAAGAGGACGACGCGATAGGGATCATCATCGCATCTGTGTTCACTATTTGTATCTGTGCCTGGTCTTCAACGGACGCTGCTGCAACAACGCTTTTTTGTTCACACTTTACATGGTGTTTGAGGTTGTGGAATCGGCGGCTGTATGTGGATGAGAATCAAGCAATCCATCAGCGCAAACGAGGCATGACCAACGCTGACTTGTTTTGCAATTCAGTAGCCTTTTGAAAAGACCGAGAAACTTTGCTGTACGTGTTTCACTTCCGGTTTCATTTCTTTTGCGATCTGAACAGGTTTTGGTTCCTCACACCCAAGCGGAATAGCTGCACAGTGTTCCGACACCCCGCTGTTGCAGGGCAGTGCCATGGACAACAACTCTATGTCCGGGCCTGGTGGCTTCCCAAACCCACAAGGCTGGCTGGTCTGCCTGTGTTTGGAACGTCATGAGGTCAAAGGGACAGAGAAAGCGTTTTGGGGAAGCTGCCAGCCGCTAGCGATGGCCTCCAACCTAGCCGCTAGCTAGCCTTTCATCAAATTGAACTGAAGGCCTGTAACTTGCGCTGAATCCGGATCACCTGCACTGCGTAGGTGCCTACCAGACCGGCTCGGTTGTACAGGGCACGGTGGTGCAGGGCCAAGTCATTGGCATAGGAGGCGCGAAGTGTGCGGATTCTTTTTGCAGAGCTTGTCCCAGACGTGTGCGGAGATGCTTTTGTTTTCTCCAAAAAGTTGACCCTTTGAAGATGCAAGGACGCTACTAGGAACAAGGACGCTACTAGGGGCTCCTGGCCTTACTACCAGGAACAAGGACGCTACTAGGGGCTCCTGGCATCGCTACTAGGACCAAGGACGCTACTAGGGGCTCACTTTGTTCACTTTGTTTACCTGGCATTTTGAAGCGCGAAGTCGCCAGGCCAACCTGCTGCGGCACCTCAGAAGGTGGCCTAAGAGCAACGCAGAGCAGTGCAGGGCAGCCGAAGGCTGGGACCTCGGTGGGAACTCAAGGACAAAAGAAAGGTCTCAAGAGAAGAAAAAGACTCAAACGGACAAGAAACATTCAAAAAGACGAAACGTGTCAAACGCTCATTACCCCTCACAACGGTAGAGCCTTATCTCCGCTTTAGAGCCTCGGGCCTCAGACTTGTCCAAGGCGACTGCGAATGCGACAGCGTTCCACCTTCCAATCTGCTTTGCGTCAGTCGAGACACGCGCTGAGTTGAATCTGCTTTTCGCCGCTTGCGTCTGGTGAGCGCGGAAGTCTGGCTGAGACGTTTCAGCGGTCTGTTGAGAGCTTGGTGCAGAGAAGACTTGAGCCATTTTGAGGAAACACACCATGAATGACAGTGAAGATTGTTGACCAATGCAAGGCCTTGCTGTGGCATTAAGCTACCAAGTCTTGGTTGAAGTTTTTTTGCACTGAGCACACGATTTGCATGCTTTTCCAGCAGACCAAATTAGTGAAACCAAGCAGCGGAAAGCCCCATCCAGGCCTGATTTGGGTGCCATGATTCGATGGGATACGAAGATGCAGCTTCTTACCAAAAAGATGTCTAAAGTCTGAAGTGTATAAAGGGAAAAAGAGTTCTATAAACAAGAAGCAAAAAAGCAATTGCCTCCAACCTAAGAGTAAATGGCCTCCAACTTAATAGCGTCCTTGTTACTAGTAGCTATTTGCTACTAGTAGTAAGGCCAGGAGCTACGAGTAGCGTCCTTGCCCCTGGTAGCGATGCCCTTTGTTACTAGCCTGATATAGCCAGTGGATTTGGAGGATCTTCGACATTCAGGTTGTAGAGGTCAAAGAGGCTGCGAACCCGACTTCCAGTGGGCTTTCTCTTCTTGAGCGGGGCTGGCTGTTCTAAGTTTCACAGATGATTCTCACATGCACAGGCTTGTCATTTTCTATGGCCGTGCAGCTTTCACGGCCAAGACGTGCTGAAGGGTTTGCTTGGCAAGTCACACGTGCCAGCAAGTGCTCACCATATCAAAGAGGAGTCTTGTCAAGTACAAAGTCTGTTTGGCCTGAATGCCTTACCCAATATCCGTTGTACCACTTGCAGGAATGCTTGGAACGGCATATGTTTTTGTTTCCCATGCCTGCCTTGGGGAACATCACTCCATACCGCTCCTGGACTCACTCTTTCTTCCAAGAATCCTTGTAGAAGGAACACTGAAGCCTTTAGGAGCAAGGACGCTACTAGGGGCTCCTGGCATCGCTACTAGGAGCAAGGACGCTACTAGTAACAAGTGCATCGCTTCTAGTAACAAGTGCCTTACTAGTAGTAACAAGAACGCTAGTAGTAACAAGTGCCACG